AAAAGGGATAAAGATTACATAAAGTTTAGAATTTTTATTCCCCCGCATGTGTATGACTGTTAGAGTAATGAAGACCCAATAAACAGGGATCTTGCACAGACAATATTGATGTTCTTCACAATTTACATCCCTGTTTATCAAATCAAAATTCAAAGGCTTAGCGCATTCCAGGACCACACTGAAAAGATGACTCCTACCCATGTCATAGATAGGAGTCATCATTAGCTATATTTGGTATATTCTTCATTGGTACCTACACACCTTTATTTTACATCAGATCATAAAATGACCCATTTTAAAAGGAAACCTGTCATGACAAAAACACCCAGGCTGCCACCACTGACCTCCTTGTGAAAATGCTAGTTGCCCGAGCGTTAGGTTGCTTCAGTACTTTGAGTCAGTGGTCTACAATATTTGTAGACGGTGTAAGACTTTCCTTTTTCTAGCTTCCTTCATCTGCATACTTGTTGCAGGTCAACAACTCACAAAGTATTAAAGCCAGAGGTGCATCACTAAGGATGACCTCAGTTTCAGACAGAACCCGGTCTGAACCTTAGTTCCACCACACCTAGAAGTGGCATGGTGGGTCACCTGCCCAATCAGCAGCGGGCCAGGCCATTCCCCGCCCCACAGCTGAACATACTCAAAGGGGCGGGATGCTTGCGCTGCCATAATTGACCTTATATAGTCACACGGCCATATTAGGTTAATGTCATAGACCAAGTATAGCCATATAAGGTAAATGACGCCCCTCCCCTTTGCTTAGACGCAGCTGCGGGCAGAGAATTCCCTGGCTGCAACTGATTGGGTGGTTCTGAGGAGCACAGGTTCACACCGGGTTCAGTCGAAACCTGAGCTCATCCCTATTCATTACAACAGCCAGGTAACTGGTATCTTTAGAAGGTCAGCAATGGCAGCCCCTGTATTTTCCTCAGCACTAGCTTACTTTCATTTCTTTGTCCAATTGATGAGTGCATGGTAATGAATATGGTAATGTTTTCTATTGCAATTTAATTTTTTTTTTTTACTGGATAGATGAAATACAAATCAGAAAATACCCCATTTCCTGCTTTGCCCGACCAAACAAGAACAAGGTCTGCTCCTTTGATTGGTTTTGATACGTGTATTGTGCATAGGTTCAATGATTTGCATGTTGTAGGTGGTTAGTAAACAATAATTTCCTTTTACCTAGTCATCAATTCCATAAATACACTGCGCATGTATTGGCAATAAGCACATGAAATAAAAACTGAAAACCCGGACTGAATCATGATTGTGACATACTGTATGTGGCAGGTACTGAAGTTGGATTAGAAGACCTGGTTCAAATCCACATTTCAATTCATCCCAACCCCAGTAAGGGGGGCAGTAAGGTTGAGTTCGGAGATCTGTGCAGGCCACATCAGTTCCTCCACACCAAACTTATTACAGGTAAAGCCAATTCTTGTTGTAGAGCCGGACATGCTTGCCCTGCCCCATCTGTCCCTCTAATGAGTGTGGGAGGAACAAAAAAAAAAGAGGGATCCCTGCGAGGGGCTCTGCTCTCTACAGGGAGAAGTCACCAAGAGCTGAACCATCAGCGGTTGCATGATCGCTCAACTCTTGATCTTAGAGCTGCCGTGTGACAGCTGCAGTGTCCCATGCCGACTCAAATCAGCAGGGATAGCAGGTTTTACTCTCCCAGCACTTCTGCTTCAGGGCAGATTCACACCATTTTCCGGACCAAAATGGTGTGAACCTGCCCGCAGTTCCAGGGCATTCCAGACCAGACAAAATGAGACATGCCGTATTTGTCTGGTCTGGAACGGACTGCGCTGGTGTGAACAAAGGCCACAAATAGCATAGGGATACATTAGGATGCATTGTGGGTCCAGAAACAATCTGGTCTGGCCTGGAGATGATCTGGACTCAATGATTAGGATAGGTGTCCTCATATGTTTGCTATAGTTCAGCGGTAGGCAACCTCGGCACTCCAGCTGTGGCGAAACTACAGATCCTCTCTATGGGAGTCATGCCTGTGGTTGTCATTGTCTCACGGGACTTGCAGTGTCACGACACCTGGAGTACCGAGATTGCCTACCCCTGATATAGTGGTAGGTAGGTGGTACGGTCTGGGGTCCTCACACTTTTGGCCATATTGTATACTTAAGAATATTAGAATTAAAATTGATAAAAGGATGCAAGGAGTGTAAAGCCAGGTTCACCTTTAGAAGTGGAAAACTACTCTAATCTCTTATATTCAACATGACTTCTCCACAATAGGACTTTATTATTAAAAAAAAGATAATTTTAACCCAAAAGACAATAACAATTTGGTATCCTCTAATAGATAAAGAAAGGAAAGAGTGGAGGATTTGCTCATTGCACTCAACCAAAGACTGGCCAGCTGAAACGAGTTTGGTTTTCGGGGACGACACCTCCACTTTTCCTGCTCTTTAGCTTTTATAAACCGAGCACTGACCATAGACAATGTGCACAATGATACATTCACGCCAGGCCCAGAAAACACGAACATGCAACTATGCAGGGAATGCGTCTATCCCGTGTTTTGGGATCGAATCATATATGTTTCATCATGTCTCCAACACAGGATATTCCCCTTTAAGCCATGTCACATGTCAGAAGACTGACACGTGTGAAGCTGGTTTCCTTATAGGGAGCGGTGAGCGACATCTGTAAGCTTGTATGTGAAAACACAAACACACTACGTCCCTGGGGAGCAGGTGTCTTCAGAACACATTTGCATTCATAGAACTATAACCTTCATATAACCCCGGCAGATTGAGAGCTCTGAAGGACACAGAGATAGCAGCAACTACTCCTTTAAGCATGTTATGACTTCTCGTGACAGAGCAGCATGGGAGAGATTCAGAGCACTGAGGATAGTACAGGAAGGCTGGTGGCGGGGTAAACAGATCATTAAGAGGACCTGTCATCTACACAGGTAAAGGCAGTCATTTTGTGAGGTCAATCAATAGTCTACCAATGCACAAGAAGTTAATGACGTTAGCAGGACGTGAGGCATGGACACGGAGGCCATTTTGAGACCTGAAAGGCCATTGCAAAAAATGAACAGGGAACAAGTCTGCAATTTTTGCATCTTGCCGATGCTTGGCAGGCGGTTTTGACCCCGGACAAATGGTCTGCAAATTGCGGGTCTAAAAATCTGTTCCAATTCTAATGGCTTAGGTTGTACTTCTGTAGAATTGGGTTTTCTATGTCCTCTCCAGGCCTAAAGTACATTGCATTGGTTGCTCTGCTGCATCCACTCCATCGTGAAGGAAGGCTTATTGAGAAAATGACAAAGGCAGCCATTTTTAAAGGAGGAACCGGAATGACTCTCCTTATGTTGTCACTTTCTATTGAACCTAGGCAGTACTTATTTGTCACAAAACTACAGTAAACACAGTTATCCAGTACCTATGGGGATTGGTAGATGCCGGATAACGGTAGCTTCTGGTTGCTTGAGAGTTACATGCTTCCTCGTCATGAGGTAAAGAGGGAGCATGAAGCCAGCTTCCCGGCCAATCAGGAAGCCGGGATGCGTGTAATTGCGTGCTGCTGCCCAGCTTCCTGATACCAGAAGTATTAAACCAGGCATTGGAGCATTTGGGCGAGTACGAGTACTCAACCAAATACTCGGCCTTGACACCGATACTAGTATCGGTGCATCCCTATTAGCAACTAAATACATTTAGTTGCTAACAATTTTTTTTTAGTGTGCACATGTCTATCAAACAAGTGGCAAAAAAAATTGAGGACATATGTCCTCGATTTTTCTTTCTGGTTGCTTAAATGCCGGATAATGGGGAGTTTACTATATCTAGCTGTGGACAGCATCTCTTACCACACACAGGGGTCTATTTATAAACAATTCGGAGAGCCTTTCACCCTGAGAATATGTGAACGTTCGCTCTGTGTGAATGTTTGCACAAAACGGCCGTTCTTAGTATATCAGTATATTTTCCCAATCAAATGTCATCATGTAATACCAGATTATGTCCACTAGATGGAGCTGAGGCACATAACAAATAAATACTCCTTCTCAGCTCCATCTATTGGCCATGATGCTGTATTCTACATATACTACATTCGAACTGGAAAGAAAATATACTGAGAACGTTCGTTTTGGGCTCCATCCACTCAGAGAAAACATTTGTGGAGTTTTGCAGGGCAAATGGCTCTGCAAAATGTATATAAATACACCCCTAAATGTTATTTTCTGCACCCGTTTTAATTGCGACTGTGTCCCACATTCGTCCTAATCAACAATCAGTCATCATTTGAATGTTTTAATATCGCTGGGAAAACTGGTGCACAATTATATAGTGGCAATAATTTACTGCTGTATTTGGTGGTACCGCAATACCAGATGGTGCTGCAAGTAAAATCTGCAACTACAGCTTCTAGATAAACCTGCAGGTTATGGTAGAGCTAGGGCAGGACTGAGGGGTAGGCAGAAAAGGTGGCTGCTTTGGGGACTCAGTAGAAGGGGGGTACAAAAAAGGGCAGGACCAGCAAGCCATGCCAAGTAGTTCACAGTGAATGGGGGAAGTAGCACTATTGCCTTAGGTGCGAAGGGACCTTCTCCTGGCACTGGGTAGGATCCTCATTTTGCTACATAAAAAGGAGGTCTTAGTCAGATTGGGGTTTTCCATGTTAAAGAAACCGGTCATGAAAGAAATGTGTAAGCTGCCATAACTGAACTCTCTTTCTGAAAATACTAGTTGCCTCGCTGTCAGGTTGATGCCTTGGCTTTATTACTTTGTGGCTGGCAAACCCAGAAAAAACACAGAGATAGGTAATTCTAACACTTTGAGGATATGTATTATGTATGGGCCACATGCTTGCTCCTTGTTTGTGGTCCGGAAAAAAAGAAGCAAGGCAAACAGTATTTTTAGGAGTCTGGTAACAGCCAGTTCCATATTTCTCCAATGACAGGTGCTCTTTAAATAAGTATTCTCTTTGATAATGAAAAGCCCATTTCTACTGCCCTCAATATGGCAGGCGTCTGGGAGCTGGAGGCGGACACAAGTAAACATTCACAATACAGAACAGTTCATACCTCTTCCTATCAAACAAGAAGCTTTGCAACTTACAGTACTGCGATCAGATTTTTGAAACACGACTTCTATTCAAACCTTGCACAACTCATAAAAAAACAAACAAATGTCTCTTGCTGTGGAGGAAAGTGCCAGCTTAGCATTATTACAGAAGACAGGTGTGATCTCCCTGGTGCGGGAAACCCTAAAGTGAAAACGTATGAGCTGTGTCCTCCATAGAGGTCACAGGAACACACCTTGCGCCCCTTTTTATTACCAGGTTGGGGACCCTGAGGCATAAAACATGGCTTTGATCTGTCTCCTCCCATCCAGGATGGCACCGCAGGAGCCAAGGTCAACCTCACCAAGGTTCCTCTCTTTCCAGCAGAGGGAGCCACTGTGCAGTTCACAAAAGTCCTTCTCCGCTAACCCTTTCCACCAAACGGGGGCGGGAAGGATGTGCAACATATTGCTGTCAGTTCCCTACAAGGTGCCGGGGAGCCCAGACGGCTGCAGTCCTTGCTCCACCCAAAGCGCAGAGGACGATGTATTCCGCTGCATGCGCCGGTGGATACGTCTAAGCCTTAGCAGGTACAGCATAATAGACAGCAGGACCACCAGGAAACACACCAGGAACAGGTAGTGGTTGTATACAAAAGACGCCCCACGCCAGTGTGGATGGCTGCCGCGGAACTGGTCTTGCTGGATGTCCCTGTAGGCGAGAAATAAGATAAGATACAAGAAAACCTACATTGGAAAATATAGATAGACTTCTATGATGAACCCTTATACAAAGATCAGCTATAGATGTTTCGGTCTGACAATTTTTTTATTTCGTTGTTTCGTTTTTGAAATTTCCATTTTCGGTGCACCTCTAATATAGTGGATCACCCCCATACCGGCCACACCAGGAGTGCACAACCAGTTAGTCAAGTGAAGAGATCTCACCAATTGAGCCCTACCCCCCAAAAAATATATGAGACTATATTTTACTCTTCTGCATCTACCAAAATGTGGAATGTCAGTTTCAGGTGGACTGACCGTTTAACCCAAGGTGGAATGGAGCGTGATATGTTCCAGCATACAGCTGCCTTATGTGGCATTTTTTTTTGGCCTTGTTTAGCCTTTAACCCCTTCATGACTGAGGCCCTTTTTTCCATTTTTGCACCCATGTTATATTCCACATTTTAGGCCTGAAAATGACGTAAAACCCCCCAACATTATATATTTTCGGAATGTCAAGACCCTATAGAATAAAATGGTGGTAGTTGAAAATTTTTATGTTGCGCAATATTAGCGCAACTCCTTATTAAACCCCAAAATTTAGTGACAAATTTAATTAAATGCCCCAAAACACAACAAATTACCCATTTTTTTAATGAAATATAAAAGATGAGGTTACAACGAGTAAAACGATACCCAACATGCCCAGTTTACAGATTGCGTGCGACCGTGAAACGGCGAAAAACTGCAGTACCCCAAAAAGTAAATAAAAGACGCTTTAAAAGCCCCCACAGGTCATCAATTTAGAGATACCTCAAAATATTGCCCCTAGAATTATTGCTCTCACTCCGGCGTGCGCGGCGATACCCAACATGTGTAGCGCGTTCGTCGTTTTCATGCGTAGGCGCACCCGACGCGTGTTTACGTGGCATCCAGGTACTT